GGAGCGCCCGAGCGGGGGGCCGGTACCCGACTGGCCCCCCTGATTCCCCCTGGGCCGTCCACCTCGGCGGCTGCCCGCCTTTTTGGGCTCTTTCCCCCTGCGCTTGGCCTCACGTTGTGGTTGGCACGCTCGCGCGGCGTGGGGTTGCCTCTGGCCGTGTGCGGTGCAAGCCCGGGGGCGCACGTTCCCCCCCGGCCCCCCGCCCCGCCCTGCCCCGCCCCTGGCCTCGAGCGGTAGCACCCTGGAGAGAGCGAGAGAGAGAGAGAGAGAGAGACAGACAAGCAACGGTGCGCGCCGGGAAGCAGGCGGCGGTGTGCGCGAGCGCGAAGCCGGCGACCGGGCGCCGGAATGACTAGCTCGCCTTGGGGCCTTGCTCGGCCCGGGCCCGGGTGCTGAGGTGTACGGGGCCCGGAGGGGGGGGGGCGGGGGCGACCCCTTGATCTGCCCGGCATGCGTCCGGGAGCAATTAGGCCGGAGGCCCTCCGGGCGCTTTCTCCGGCCTGCCCCCCCAGCATGCGCCGGGGTGTTTTTGACGGCCCGACGTGCGTGCATGTGTGTGTGCGTGTGTGTGTGGGGCGCGCGCGCGCGCTTGCGCAGGCATGATCGTGTGCCGATGCTCGGCCACAGGCACTCCCCCCCCCCCCCGCCGGGGGAGCATGCGTCCCTGCGGGCCCGGGCAGCGGGAATAGCTTCTCACACGGGCCTGCGGGCAAGGCGAGCCAGCTCGCGCTGCCCCTCGCGCCAGGCCACGACCGTGCGGGACGGATCGGCCCCCCTCCGGCTCCCTTAAGGGGGGGGGGGGAGATCGTGAATGTGGGGACACAAGGGGCAGTGGGATATGTGTTACGGGGCGGCTGCACCCTGGCCCCGTCGGAAGCGCGGGACGCGGAGCAGCGACCGGGTGAGGACAAACGGCCGTGGATGGTCCCCCCCCCCCCCGCCCCGCCAAGGCAAGCCGCACGGCGAGGCACAGGGCTGTGGGATCTCCCGGCGCTCGGTGTCTCTGGAGCCCCAGACTCACACGCCCGTGTCGCCGGTGCGCACGCGCGCACTCAGGGCCCCGCTCGGGGGCTGCCGCTCCCCCCCCTCCCCACCACCCCCTTCGGTCTTCCGCCCGGTTGATCAAGGCCGCACGCATCCTGCCCAACACCCCGCCATTGCCCGAAGCAGGCTGGGCAAGCAAGCGCCCCGCCCCCCCCCCCCTTCCCTCCCTCCGGTGCGGGTCGGTGATACACGGGAAGCGCAGACGCGAACGTCTGGCCCCTTTTCCGCTCCCCCCCCCCCCCCCCCCGGGGGGGGGGGGGGGGGGGGGGGGCGCCAACCCCGGGGGGCGGGGGGGGGGGGGGGGGGGTAGGGCGCGGGGGGGGGGGGGGGGGGGGGGGGGGGGGGGGGGGGGGGGGGGGGGGGGGGGGGGGGAGGGGCGGGGTGCGGTGGGAGGGGGGGGAGGGGGACCCGCATCCACACGCACAAGTTTCAGGGGGAGGGGGGCGGGGGGCGCATCCACAATTTGTGTCCCGGCGCGGCGGGGTGGCCCCAGCAGACGAGCGAACGGCAAGAGCGGGCCGTAGGTAGGAGCGCGACCACCGGGGCCTGTTGGCGGCCAACATGTCCCCCCCCCCGCCGGTGCGCATGTTGGCAAAGTGGCGGGAGGAAAACATGCCGCACGGGAGGGGGACCAAAAGAAACGAGGGCACCAGTGTGTCTGTGTTCGGCCGTTCGTGTGCGACAAGCGGACACAGGGAGACGCGGGTGCCGCCGGGGCCCGGGTCCTGCCAGCTACCCCGGCCCCCTCCCGCCCCTGTAGCAACCTGATCCTTCATTGAGGCCCGGCCCGATGCCGGGCGGCCAGTTCTCGCGGGCAAGAGCCACCACACACACACACACCCCCACACACACGGACAGCATGCGGCCCGAGCCGGGCCGCGACCGCGCCCCCCGCCGCGGCCGGTCCGCCAGTCGGGCGGGGGGCCTCGTACGAGCACAACTGTCAGGGCCGGGCCGACCCGGGCCCACCGCGAGACCCGGAGATGGGGCCCTCGCAATCCGGGTGTCTACACGCACGCGCGGAGACCGGGAGCCGCCGAGAGAGAGAGGCACACACACGCACAGACACATGTGCCTGTTCGCGGGTGGTCTCGTCTGCGGCAAAGTCGGCCCGGAGGCCAGCCTTGCGACGTCGCGACGAACACCGGCTCCGATGCGCCGCCCGAGGGCGGGGCAGTGACCGCGACCTCCTGGCCCGGGGGGGGGGGAGACGGGAGCAGCATCCGGTCCCGAGAGGCCCCCCGCACGCCCTGGCTCTTCTCTCGCCCATACCCCATCGTCTATCTCGTCCGGGGTGCATACACACGCACGCGCACGCGCACACGCACACGCACTCACACACCCGCTTACCGGTGGGGGCGGGGGGGGGGGGCCTCAAGCCCGGCCGGGAAAACGCCCCGGATGGGCGCCAATGTGCGTGGGCGCGTGCCCGGCTGGCCGGCAAAATCGCGCTCGCACGCGCGTGGCGGCCACCCTCAGCGGAATGCGCCTCGCGGTGCCCGGCGCTGCCGACTGGCGGAAAAACCGCCATACAGTCGCCTTCCCCCCTTCCCCGCCCCGCCCCCCGGGGAGCCCCAACGGCTGGGGGCCGCGCGCCGCCGCCGTCGTGGCCGGGGGAGGCCTTCACGGCGGCCGAGGTTCGCCGATGCGTGTGGCGCGGGGATCCGGCCGTCCGGAGGACGGAATCCCCCCTGTCTGGCCGGGCCTGCCCCCAATGGCAACACGGCCCCCCGGCCGGTGCCGGCCCGCACATCATCCAGAGAGGCAACGGCGGGTGTGGCAAAGGCACCGGGGCAGGCCGCCCCCCCCGCCCCCACGTCGAGGGGATGCCTTTTCCCCGGGGCCGCAACTGCCCCCCTCCCCCCCCCCCGGCCGGCCGGCGAGGAGGGTTCAGGGCTGCAATCTGCCAGCCAGTAAAGGGGTAATTTCATTAGGCCGCCTCGCGCCCCTCCCTGTCCGTGGCTCCGCCTTTTTGTTGATCGTCCTTGTGGAAGACGTCCCCGCGGGTGCGGCGAGGCCGGGGGGGCAGTCGGCGGCTGGCCCCAGGTATCCCCCCCCCCCCGCCCGGTTGCAGGCCCGCGCCCCGTTGGTCCCACGCGTCGCGAAAGAGGGAGAGAGCAGGGGCAAGCCCCCGCGGCTGGGGCACCTCCCGGTCACTGGGAAGGGCGCGTCCCTTTGTGGGTGGTCCTCCGCCTGCCGCGCGCGCACGATCCCCGCGCGCCCAGACATCGGCGGAGTTACCTCCCGGCCGGGGCCCGGCGCACGGCGGGTGTCTCGTCTTCCTCCCCCCTTGGGGATCTCCCATGTCCCGCATCTCTGTCTCGCCCCTGCGGCCTCCGTGTGCCCCCATCCCCCCCCCCCGGGGGGGGGGGGAGTGTATGTTGTGCGGAGGCCGTTTCCTGACACATTGCCCTTGACCCGGGGCCGGCCAGCAAACCCTGCAGCCGGGTTCTTGGGGCCCCTTCCTGCCCCTGTACGGTGGACACACCCCACTCGGACACACACTCGGGCACACACTCGGACACACACACACACACACACGCACACCTCGAAGCAAGGATGATAAAGGCCGAAAGTGCGAGGCGCCCTGCCTACCCCGGAAATGTGCCCCCCAAGACGAGGAGGGGCAGGGGGCGCGCGCGGAAACACACACCCGGAGCCGGCGCCCCCGGCGCGGAGGAGAGGGGGACACACACACACATACACACCGGGGCGCCTGGGCGCGGGGGAGGGAGAGCCCGAGAGCGGGGCCTCGTCTTGGCCGGCCAGGCGCCGGCCCACACATTCCAGCGCTCTGCAACGCGGGCGCTTTATTAATCCCCCCTGGAGGGGCCCGTGTCCCATGCCGGGCACGCGTGCGTGGCCCAACTCGGGCTGGCCATTTCTCCTCGCCCTCGGCCCGGCCGTCCCGTGCGCCGTCCCCGGCCAGGCGAGGGGCGAGGGGGGCGGGCGGGGCGGGGGGACAGGGAGAAAATCGACATGGTCGCCCGGAGGCCCGTTCCCCGTCCCGGGGGTCTCGGCCCCTCGGAGTTTCCCACCATGAAAAAAATGCACCCCGGTCACCCCGGGGCCCGCGCGCCTCCTGTCCGCTCGTCCGGGATGCGCCTGCTCCCTCGGGCGATGTGCCCTACTTCCCGCCTCCCTCCCCCCCCCCCCCCCCCCCCCCCCCCCCCCCCCCCCCCCCCCCCCCCCCCCCCACACACGCCTGCGCGCCTTCGCGCAGGCAGCAGGGGGCTAATGGGCGCGCACGACCCCCGGGAGGGTGCGGCCCGGCCCCCCCGCAGACCCCCGAGATCTACCCCCCCCCCCCCCCCCCCCCCCCCGGCCAGCCGCCCGGCCTGTGCAGACACATGCGCCCGAGTGCCGGTCCAAATATCGCGTCCTCTCGTGCGCGCTGGGGCGCGCGCACGTCCTCACGCACGCACGCACGCACGCGCGGCCGTCACCTCATCAAAGCGCCAGCCCCGGGGGGAGTTCAAGGCGAGGGGGAGAGGGG